AAAGTTTGATTATAAAAGTGTGAGATAATTTTGATCTTGCTGATGATCTGGACTTAGAGAGGCTACAGCTATATTCTTGTAAAGTTTCAGAAGCAACTGGCTCTGTGTAACCGCCTGCCTATTATACAAATGACTGTTGCACAAAATGAGTGTCCATTATGCTGTAATAACTAATGTTATGCTTTGATGATCACGTGCGTAACAATAATAGTGAACTCCATTTTGGAAAAAAAGAAATATTAATACTATTACTATTAGTGGTGGGTGGTTGTATCCATCGATTATCCGGGTGTTTGAGTACTTGGTCAATCAATAAAACTCAACACCCGGATAATCGGCCAGTCAATAAAGCTCAACAACCGGATAATTGGTCATTCACCGAATATCCATTGATTTATAATAATTATTTATTCGTCAGGAAAAATATTTTCAATACATTGCACATATATTTTTTTAAGAAATACAAATAACAACGGATTGAATTTTATTCGTCAGGGTGTCATTGTGTTTCCACAGCGGATGAATGAAGATTTTATGTTTTTATATTTTAATGTGAACGTGAAGCAAAAATTTTAAAAATCCGTTATGTCAAGAATTTAATTATAGTCCTCTGTGACAAGGTTTGGCTGTAGACGCTCATTTGGAGTAGAAGTTACTGCAATGCATAAATATTCTTTAGATAATATTGACACAGTTGGTATTCATATTACTTGCTATATTATTATAATAGAAAGAATGTTGGTGATAGTTATTAACACGTTTTCTTTAGGAGACCCAAAGATGCCACCAAAGAAAGAATCAAATAAAAGAAGCAAAACGAATGAACTGGGAGCTGAACGTGGGTAAGTGTTTTAAGGATGGTGGTGGTTATCGCCCGCCACTCGTCGTTACTCTAGTTATATATACATAAATAATTAGTGCACGCATTTGTCAGATCAAATAACAATTTTTTTTTTTGAATTTTTTGTAAAAATGAACGCCAAAAAAATTTTTAAAAAAGAAACAAAGGAAATTACATTGAAGATGCAAAAGAGTAAGTGTTTATAAAAAGAATGACGTTGGTTATTGCCACTTGTCGTCATTCTAGTTACTAAATTGAAGTTTCGACTTTTGTATATATAACTTTTTACAAATTAGGAAAAAGAAGATAGTAAAGATATTGAGGTTAATACTTTTGAAACAAAAGAAGAATTGGACATATTTTTAGAAGATTGAGAAAAGTCACAATGGTATCAATTTGATTTTTTTTTTTTTTTTTTTTTAAGAATCTATTATTTTTGAATGCATTTTATATAATTGATAATTTATATTTTCTTTATTGAAAAAAAAGATGGAAGAATGTGTTGAGACATGTCAATATCAAAATGTTAAAATTTTTAAAGAAAATTTTCAAATATAGAGATAAATGATCCAATAGTTTCATATGTTGTAGATCATTACAATATGGAAATAATTAAGCCAAGCTTTAGAAAGATTCTTGAAAGTTATCGTAATCATATATTAACAAATTCCATCTACAAGGAATACAAAAATTCAAAAATGACACAATTTTTAAAAAATCTTGTGGGTGTGAATAATTTTCAAAAAATTTATCACAATAATAATGATTTTTGTAGTCTAGCAGAAGTTATCAATTTACTAGACAAAGATAATGATGATGGTGATATTGGTAGTGAGGCAAAGACTAGTGCCGTAATCCAAAAAAGGAAAAAGTATGGTTGCAAAAGTGGTTGCAAAGGTAATTGTGACCACTTTTTATATGCC